AGCAGCTGAGCTGCCCGAAAGAGACACTCTCCAACCCGTGGCTTTGCCTGCAGGTCGTGCAGTGTGCCCTTGGTTTCTAGCCTTCCTGAACTTATCACCTATCCTAGGATGGGCTTTTGGTGATCCAGCTGTCTTTGAGTCATTTCTGTCCTGCAAGGAGTCCCCATATTCACTGAAATGACTAAAATCTGTTGGTTGAGCAAGTTGGACTTTGGTGGTATCTTGCTTGGTCTGCTGTGGTTCCCTATCTGGGGTGACAGATAACTGCTCCTATCTCGCCTGTAATAACATTACACAACACACCCACAGTCATGGTGCATCCCCCAGATATAAATAAATAAGTACAATATAATTAAGGTTAACCTGGTTGGGTCAGGTGGCACTCATCTGGGTCACCTAGTGACTTGAGATTAGCATGGGCTACATAGTGAGACCCTAGGAATAAAGGAAAGAAGGAAAAGGAAACAATTGCTTGTTAAATGTTAATATCATCCCAAAAAATCCTCTAAGACACACCCAGAATAATGTTTGACTTATCATCTGAGTACCATGAGCTAGCAAGATATCACATAAAATTAGTTATACACTCTCCAACAAGAATTTTCTCACGTACAGTCCTCAGGGCACAGTCCATGCCTATACTGTGGACCCCAAACCATGAAGGTTCTGATATCTCGCCTCCCATGCCATCTCCCTGTTGATTCCCAGGCTCTCTGTCTTTCCACCTCACCCTCATCTTGCCTTCCTTTCAGCCCTGTATCCGTAGCGTCTTTCCACTTCCAGCCTTTGCACATGCCGCCTGCCCCACGTGTGGTCCCTTCATTGAGAGCTTCCCGTGGTTGCCCTGGAAACCTTCCTCTGCATCCTGAGCATCCAAAGGAGTCTAAAGTTCATCGCTCACTTAGCTGCTTTTAACAATGCAGGGTCTTGGATTCCCCACCCCAGAGCAGCCTCCTGTCTGACACGTGCTGCTGCCCAGGGCTCCAGCTGTCTAGAAGACACATGGCCAATGTCTTTGTTTGTATAAGATGACTTAGATTTCTCTTCTTGTAAGCCAGTTCTCTGTTCACTCTTGTATCTGGGCCTCCTTTTACTACCATGCTCCTTCTTGAAGTATCTTTTTACACGATTATTTAGTGAAGGGTGGTTAGTGGTAAAACTCTGTGAATTTTATCAGACAAATGTTTATTTAAACTATAAAATAGCCTTCCAGTTGTGGTGGGGCATGCTTATAATCCCAGCCTTTGGAAAAGACAGAGGTATGGGGGATCAGGAGTTCAGGGCTAGTCTGGGCTATATAGCAAGTTCAAAGCCAGACTGAATTACACGAGAGCCTATCTTTAAAAAATAACACCCCCAAGTCTCCTACAACAAACACAAAATAATCAACCAAAAACTTCAAGTCAGGGTACCAGCTTTCTTGTTATTCTGATGGAAACACCTCTATAATCGATTAAAGGAGGGAGGATACACTATGGCTCCCTGCCTCAGAGGTGTCTGTCTATGTCCTTGGCACCAGGCTTTGGGCAGGACATCACAGCAGGAACATTTGATAGAGAGGCTGTTCTAACTTCTTGGTCTACAGGAAGCCAAGAGACAGAAAGAGGCAGGGGCAGCTCCCCAGGACCTGCCACCAGTCCTCATTGCTCCATCCCCATCCCCTAAAGTTTCCAGGAAAATCCCCTATAGTGCTACCTGCTGGAGACAGGCACTTGTGTGTGTGTGTGTGGGGGGGTAACCTTTATCACCAAACATAACAGTGTGGTGGTACTCACCTGGCACCTCAGAACTCCAGAGGCCGAGGTGGAAGGATAGTGGGTTAGAGGTCAGCTTGAGCTACCCAGCATGATCATGAAACAAGAAAGCAAAACCAAGGGAAGTGTTACATTTGATTAATAGTAGCTGTATTTTAGAGGTACCAGGGAACCTTTAGATATACAATACATTGTAGAATAATTAAAGGAAGCCAATCAACTTTTCATCCTCTCAAGTTTTCAGTGAAGGCATTTAAAAGGCCTTATCTTACTAATTTAAAAAATACATTGTATTAATTATTTCCCTGGGCTGTGTAACAGATCTTAATGACTTACCCTCCTGTCTAAGGGACACTGTGTCTCCTGGTGCCTAGTACCTGGTCTTCGCCATTTTATCTCTGCTTCTCAAATGAGATCCTGCACACATTTCCCTCCTCAGCATCCTGCCAACACTTGTGGTACCCATCTTTCTTGTAATCATCATCCTAATTGATGTCAGGTCACATTTCATTATGGCCTGATAAGCGTTTCCCTGGTAACCAGTGATGTTCAGTATTTTTCTGCAAACCTGGAAACTGCCTGGATGCCTTCTTTTGAGCAGTGCCTACTTAGAGTCTTTGTCGATTTTCAGTCAGCCTCTTTGATTTCTTGCTACTAAACTGTTCTTTAAACTTTTGGTTAGCTGAAAAATTTGTTTTGCACTTAATTTTGGAAAACAGTGCACAAAAGCCCGAGTTAGGAAGGTTTTTTTTTCCTTCTTTTTACTCTAAAGATACTATTTCATTCTCTTTGGTTTTAATTGTCCTGCCACCAGATTCATTAGAATTATTGCCTTCATTTTTTAGATTTTCCTGTCTTGGGTGGTCTGCAATTTCACTATGCTCTGCTTAGATAACCTGCCATTTGTTATTTTACTTATTATACATTAGAATCTTTACCTACATTTACCTTCATCGGTTCTGACTTATTTTAAAATAGAATGTCTCCAAAAACCAACTTTGAGATTTCAATTAGACTTTCCTTGGCTCTCTGCGCACAGTTTTTGGTGGTTCTTTATGTGTCTCTTCCTCTTGTGTTGCATTCCTAATTACATCTGGGCAGGAGTTCTACCACTGAACTATAACCCCGGCCTTTCTTGATGATTTCTTTAGATTTGTCTTCCAGTTCATAAATTCCCTCTTCATCTGTGTCTACTTTGCTGGCCAACTCTGCTGAGTTTTTTTGTTTTCTAAGAACAACTTTGTTAAGATATAACACATTACATAACAGACAATGTATTCTTTATTGGATACATTTCGGTGACTTGTAGTGTTTTAACAAAGTTGCGTATCCATTACCATGATCTAATTGTGGGGCATTTCATTACTACAAAATGAAAATTTTAATCACCTCACTTATTAATAGTGTCCCAAACCAGTCATTCTCGCTCCCTCCCTCCCCCATATTTGGCTAATCTTTTAGTCTTTGTTGGATTTTTAAATTTTGAGCATTGCCGGGCGGTGGTGGCGCACGCCTTTAATCCCAGCACTCGGGAGGCAGAGGCAGGCAGATCTCTGTGAGTTCGAGGCCAGCCTGGTCTACAAGAGCTAGTTCCGGGACCGGCACCAAAGCTACAGAGAAACCCTGTCTCGAAAAACCAAAAATAAATAAATAAATAAATAAATAAATTTTGAGCATTTCATGTAAATAAAATGGTTTTTTGTTTTTGATTTTTTTTGTTTTTGTTGTTTGTTTGCCTGGTTTGTTGTTGCTGTTCCTTCTTTCTTGGTGACTGTCTTCTTTTACTGTAATACTTCCAAGGTTTCCGTTGATCTTTAGTCATTTAAGTGAAGTCTCCAGGTTTTCTTTCTTTCAGATAAACTTGCTGTTCAGCTTGTGGTTACATGGTCCTTCCTTAGCATGTCTTTTTTTAAAAACTGATTTTATTGAGCTATACATTTTTCTGTGCTCCCCTCCCTTCCTCTCCCATTGTCCCCTTCACCCCTCTCCCATGGTCCCCATGATCCCAATTTACTCAAGAGATCTTGTCTTTTTCTACTTCCCATGTAGATTAGATCCATGTATGTCTCTCCTAGGCTCCTCATTGTTGTCTAGGTTCTCTGGTATCTTTAGCACGTCTTAATAAGCACATTATCTTTGTAGTCTAAGGTCTCTGTGTAACTCTTTGGTTTGATCTCCGTGTAACTCTGGTTTACTAGCATAGGAGGTAAATCTAGACAGGCCATCGGCTTTTCCAAGTGGTGGTCTTGATGAACTGGGTTCACGGACCATTCGCTCACCAGCCCGCAGCCCGCTCTCTGCATTTCCACAGAAAACACTTACCTAGAAGCCTCCCCAGCCCCCTCTACTCTGCAAGAATCCATACTAAGGCTCATTCTCCGATCTGCACAGGTTCTGCCCAGCAAATTGGCTCTCGACTCCATTATGGGATTGACTTGTTTGAAGAGAATTGTGCACGAACTAATCCTTACCCTCTGCACTCTCTTCATCTAGATCTTTTCTTCAAAATGTCCAGTCCCTCTCTTCGTCAGCACTCCGAACTACTCAAGTGCTCGGGATGTTTGGTCTCATTATTGGCGTGTCACCTAGGGACTGGTGCAGCACTGGACAAGAGGCTCTATGACTGTGTGTTCCCCTTACCTGTAACTTAACACTCAGACAGCAAGGCGATGTGCACCACATTGAAGTAACACATATGCGGTTTAGAATAAGGAACACAAACATTATGCGCTCAAACTGACAGTCCAGGCTGCCACGTCTGGTAAGGATCTGATATAGTGACAGTCATTTGTCTGGTGTAAGGTTCCTGGGCAGAGCAGGCAGAAACCAAGGTTCGCCTAGGGATGAAAAGGAGCAATGGGAACTGTGGCTTATGCAGAGCCCAGGAGAGATAGAAGGACCAGGTGGAGCGCGAGGTGTGAATCTGGCCAACCCAGACCAGGATTGTCACCTTCTAGGTGTGGGTGTGGTTGGTGACAAAAGTCCCTGGGGCTGAGTTGCTGGTGGGCATCGTGGGCGCTCTTAGGAATGGAATTGACTGGAACAATCGGAAACAAGGTGGAGGTTGGAGAGGGAGGAGCCCCAAGGCTGGGCGTCTGAACCCCATGACCGACCACTATTTCCCTCCTTTGCTGCGTCTTTGTGCATTCCGCTTCCTTTAGCAGCCAATGCTCTTCCGAGAATCTGCAAGGGGACCACGGCCAAGCAGAGGGGGAGGATCCTCCCACACCGGGTAGGGAGGTTGATAGGGGTGGGGGGCAGCTGCTGCGGGAGTGGGAGGCCTAAGGGGGCGTTGCACGCGGGCGAAGGGCGCAAAGGCCGAGTAGGGCGACCTGCTGCTTGGTCTCCAGCTCCGGGCACCCCCGCCCCGCTCGTCTCCCCACCGCGCGCGCGGCCCCCGCCCCGGCTCCGCCCCGCCCCTCGCGCGGGGTCCGCGTCTGCGGCTGCGTTCCCCGAAAGACGAAGCTGCGCCCCGGTTCCGGTCCGCAGGGAGACCGAAGGGCATCGCTTCCCGCGCCAGAACCGCTGCTGATCCCGGAGTGCTGACACCCCAGGGATGTGAGTGCGCCCCCGACCCTGAGGCCCGTACTCCACGCCCCTCTTCGCGGTGAACGCCGAGGCGCGCGCGCAGGGACCAGGGGAGGGGACTCGGCGCGGGGTTCCCGGCCCCCCAGCCCAGGGGTGGGGACGAGGACGGGGACGCTGCGCGCACCCCTCCCCCGCCGGCAGGTAAGGTGCGCTTCCTCCTCCCGCCTTCCCAGTCCGGACGCACCTACAGCTCCCTGGGGAGAGAAGACACCCTCCTCACGCAGGTGCAGGGCGAAGGTTGTGGGGACCTCTGGGCGGCCACCTCACTAGAGAGGGCAAATTTCTCTTCCCTGGCGGGGAGACGGTGATGGTGGATGCTCTGGGTGATGGGTTGGGGGTGGGGCATCTCAGGCTCCTGTAAGGACTCCCCCCCTACTTCTCCGTGATTCCTGGGGAATGGTCGTTTCCTGAGTCCGAAAACGAAAGGGTCCTTGGTGTTGGATCCTCTGACTGAGGCTATTCCCCTCCAGGCCTGCCCCCCAGAGGACTCCTGTCTGCAGCCCCCGCTTCTCTCTCAGGCTCTCTCAGAGCATGCTGCCTGCGGTCATGAAGAGCCTCGGCCTGGCACTGCTGGCCTTGCTGCTGTGCCCCTCGCCGGGTGAGTCGGGGGCCCCTGGGGAGGGGTCCCATATGAGTGGACCACCACTCATATCTCAGCTCCAGCTACCGGGGCTCTCCCCCACCCGAAGGCATCCAGCGCCTTTCCACCGGGCTTCTGTTACTGCGAAGAGGTCCCTCGTTCTTAGAGGTCCAACGGGCTTCCTATTAAGTCGGGTGGGCCTTTCTTGTCTTGGAAACCTCCCATCTTTAAGGGTACTGTGTGGAGAAGTAAGAGGATGGGGGAGGCAGGATGTGCAGATACAGCCACAGGGTCAGCCTGGAGGCCCTTTGGTCCGGTCTTGTGGGAGTGGAACTCGTCTCTGGGGCACAGGTTGGGGAAAAGGGGGTGCAGGGTCTGGCTGTCCAGGCCTGGGTTCCTCTGGTCATCCTCCTCCCCATGCCCTGCCTAGCCCATGGCCTGTGGTGCCAGGACTGCACCCTGGCCAATTCCAGCCACTGCGCCCCGAAGCAGTGCCAGCCGACCGATACCGTTTGTGCCAGCGTGCGGATTACCGACCCCAGCAGCAGTAAGACTGGACCTGGTGAGGGCACAGGGGCTACTGAAATGTAGATGTGGGGAGAGGTCAGAGGTGTCTTCTGAATTCCTCTTGCCTGGGACAAGAGCATGAGTTTGAGGCAAGACGATACTGGCTTGCTCCTCCGGGCTCCAAGTCCGAAACTGATCTTTAGGACCCCGGTCCTGGGGGGAGGGACAGCGCTCAGATGGAGATGGACCTCAGCATCATGCCTTCTTCTCTCCCCCCCCCCACCCCAGGCAGGAAGGATCATTCTGTGAACAAGATGTGCGCATCCTCCTGCGACTTCGTTAAGCGGCACTTTTTCTCAGACTATCTGATGGGGTTCATTAACTCTGGGATCTTAAAAGTCGACGTGGACTGCTGCGAGAAAGATCTTTGCAACGGGGCGTCAGCAGTGGGGCGCAGCCCCTGGGCCCTGGCTGGGGGGCTCCTGCTGAGCCTGGGGCCTGCTCTCCTCTGGGCTCAGCCCTGAGGTCCCTCCCTCCCTCCTGCAGGTCCTTGGAGCTTGTCCCCTGAGCCTGTTGCTGCCCCGTCCCCAGCCTGGCCTGGCTAGGATTGGGACAGCAAGAGCTTGGCAACAAGGTCTGTGGCTCTCAACCTCCCTAGATGTGAGCCTTCTCCGTTTCCCCACCAGCTCCATATCCCAGGCAGCTGGACATCTCCCGGAGACCAGACATCCTGGCAGAAAGCTGGGGCGGGGGGAGGGGGAGGGCAGGGGACAGGGACCCTCCAGGTCCCCAAGGGGAGGGAAACCAAGCCAGGGACAGCCCAACAGCCTGGCCTGAGGGGCATTAACTACAAAGAAATAAAGTCACTTCTGAGTCTTGTGCCTGGATCTGAGCCTGGGTGTTGGGGGTGGGGGAGGGTCTTGGTAGGGAGCAAGGGACACCTGACAGGTGGGGGTGTGGTCAGGGGTTCGGAGTGGTGTATGTATATGCTGGCACACCTGGAGATGCCCTGGTAGTGCTGCTTGGGGCTGGGAGCTCGGGAGGGGACACTTAAGGAAGGTGGGGTGGGAGCTAAGATGGACAGAATCACACTGTGGGGCTGCGGAGGAGGTGTGAGAATTTTGCAAACTCACCACGGGTGTAAGGTGCTTCTAGATGCCTTCCACAGTGCACATGGGCAGCCTGCGTATGTGCCTTCTGCTGGTGCCAAGAGACCACAGTCAGTGCCTACTCTGCTTACAGTCACACGGTCACACCTACAGGTGCCTGCACACACAGGCGCTGAAATACCCTCCCCAGCGTCCCCATCAGCTCATGTGGTGTGCCCAGATACACATTCACACCCTGCCTGGGATGCACTTTTGCCCGACTGAAGACCTGTGTGCCCGTGCAGCTCTCGCTTCTCCCTGCCCTGAATCCCCAGGGGCTTGGATTTGGGTGGCTGAAAACCTTGGGGTGGTTGAAGGCCCTGGGGTTGCTTATGGTGGAAGTGGAACCCTCACTTCCTGGGCTCTGCCCTTTCGCTGGATATCTGCACCTGCTGCCCCGCTCTGAGCTGTCGTCCGCATGGATGGAGTTCTGAGTCCTGAAGATGCTGAACCCCATGCAAGGTGGCAAAGGTGGGCAAGATGGGGAAGACTTGTTCAGATAGATGAGCTGTCCTGGCCCGTCCACCCCAGCTGCTGGTCTTCAGTTTCCTCCCTGAGTCCAGCCCTGCCTTCTACTCCTTACCAGATGTTCCACAGATGGTTTGTGTGGACAGGTTCATCCTGTGACACTTAGTGGACACCCCAGGCATTCCCTGGGGCCTGAATTTTGGCCAGTGCTTCCCCCCATACAACCTGTAGCTGACCTAAACCCATGGCCACTGCTGGGCCCTGGCTCTGCCCAGAAAGGGAACTAGTTCCTGTAGGGTCTAGCCTTGACATTGCTCCTGGGTACCAGGAGTAGGGTTCAGGTGGGGGACTGGGAGGGCGGAGCTTCCTGTCATCATTGATTTTTGTTGTCTGAACACAGACGGAAGACAGAAGGTTAGTCCCTTTTGCATTTGAACCTGGCAGCAATGGGCCCTTCTGCCTGTCACCTCCTTCTAAAGTGCTGCCTCTGCTGGTGCCTGGTGCCTGGGGAGCCCAGAACACAGCTGGTGGCGGGAAAGGGTGTATATGGAAGTGTAGCAGGAAGGCTGCAAGTGCTGGGTGCCTGGGAGAAGTCCTTGAAGCTTCTGGAAGACCAAGCTGCTGGCTGGAGATGAACTTGGAGCCCACATTCGTTCAGGCAAACCTGTATGTGCCAAATGCATTGTCTGAATGGCCCTTAAGAACAAGGAGGAGGAAGATTTTGGCCTCATTGAAGAAATACATGAGATTAGAAGGGAAACTCTTTTGTTGTACCCCCGAGGGGCTCCTGAGGGAAGGGTAGCAGGCACAGAGGGTCGGGCCCCTCCAGCAACCTCTGAGCTGACAATGTCCTCATCTCAAGGAGAGTTCCAGTGGTCAGCTTTGGGTGTGGTATTGGGGAGCCTTCCACAGTGGTGATAGGTGCAGGCTCTCAGGACAGGGCTGAGTGCTTCCTGCATCCCTGGTCTTTACTTGTTTTTAAAATCACATTTAGTTTTGTTGTATTGTGAATGTGTGCGTGGCGTACACGTGAAGGACAGAAGACAACGTGGGGGAGTTGGTTCTCTCTATCATGTGGGTTCTGGTGATGAAACTCAGCATCAGGCTTGGTTGCACATGCTTTCATGGGCTGAGCTGTCTCATTCCCCTCCTGGCCCATTTTGCCAAGAGCTCCTTAGCAAAGCCCTCCTAGGGAGTTACAAAGTGACGTATGGTTTCCAAGCTCTGACATGTCCTGGGCATGGACAGCACTGCTCGATTTAGCCACCCCTAAGGGGGAGCCCCCCCCAGATTTCTGTCACTGGCATTGGAGGGTCTGTCCTTGTCTCCTGTGCAGTGGTCCCAGCCTGTGGGTCATCACGCCTTTGGGGTCAAATGACCTTTTCACCGGGGTCGCATATCAGATATACTAGATATTTACATTACGATTTATAACAGTAGCAAAATTAGAGTCACGAAGTAGCTATGAAATAGTTTTACAGTTGGGGGTCACCACTCCGTGAGGAACTGTAATAAAAGGTCACGGTATTAGGAAGATTGAGAACCACTGTGCTATGGTCTGAGGTGATCAGACGTGAAGGGGTGATTCTGAGGAAGGGGGAGGTGGGCAGAAATAGATCCTCTAACAAGGCAATGACTCTGTCCTGCCAAGCTCTGGTGTCCTTTCTGGCTGTGTATTGTCAGGGGTTTCTGTTCGTCCAATGGATACAGGATAGAGGGTTTCTGGCATCCCATCTGACATCATGTGGGCAACAGCTGAATGTCCTCGAGGTTCAATAGCCACAGTGTCCCTTGAGGAGCTCCTGGCGCCTTCCTTCTGACCTCCCATGACGGCCTTGGTCTCTTCCTGGCATACACATCTCTTTGTGGGGCTGGCAGTTGGATGGGTACTTCCTTCTGTCTTGCTCTATGGTACTCTGTGTGCGCTCTGAGGCTGGAAACACTAAGGCCTATCTAATTCTCGTACAGTCTGGGGCTTCCTGCCCCAGAACCATCTCTGTCTTCTTGTGAACCCACACTGTGTGTTTCATGGATGTTGACAGGTTTGGTAGCTACACTCAGGCATCCGTCCACCTGAGCTACACTGTGACAGGAGGGAGCTATTCCGAGTGGCTACTGTCTTTCAGTGTCGTGTAACCAAGCAACCAAATTTCGACGCGGATTTAAAACATGACCTTTACAACATGGTGCAATCCAGGCTGGACAGGATGCCCAAGATTCACTACTCTGTGGGTTCTGCCACACAGGCCTTTGCTGTGCCTTCTCGATTCGGAGAAGCCTTTCAATGTCTCTGAGGCAAGTGACACACACTTATGACTCCTCTGGGAACATTGCCACTTCTCCCCTTGATTCAGACTCTGTTAGAATCCATTTAGAGTTCGCTCTCTGGGGTCTGAAACTGGGCTGCATGTGTGGTCCTTCTCACTCAGATACTTCAGGGACTCTGGAATGACATCACTCTGTAGTACCCTGTAGCTTCCTTCACACTGGCTGCTTATCTCCCTAGGTGTGTATCGCTGAGCAATCCATAGTTTAATGGGGCGTCCTTTTGCTTCTAAATCTAATTATTCATATTTGTTTGGGAAGCTGATGCTTTTGGCTTTCTGGGTGATATTCTGTTTGTCAGTGGCCCACTCTGTATGAACAGCAAATGAGAACCCCTGACAGGCCCTTGTGCTTCCAGAAGCTGATGCCCCGTTTGCCTTTCTGAGAGGTGAATGGACACCCCTAGGAGGAGGCGCTCGGGCACTTCAGAAGGGAGCATGTCATCAAGTGGAGGGGGGGTCCACTTAGCTAGGACATTCCTGTCATGAATATACCCCCAAGGTCCCGGATCTGAGGGCGGTGATGGTGGGCCACAGGCATCCCCAGAAGGGACAGTTTGGGGGAGTCAACACATGCAAGGAAGAAGAGCCTCTTGGCTGATGACCACTGGGGCTGACATGAGTCTCACAGACACCTAGTGACAGACGTGATATCTGCTTTCCCCGCCCTTCCTTAGGCACCACCTGGGAAGACAACAGGAATGGCTGCACTGAATAAGACAAGCATAGGCCTCCTTGGTGGGAAGCTAGGTCTAGAAAGGAAGCAGCGGGATACTACTCCATGCTCTTAGCTAGCTGAGTGGTCCCTGAACACACATTGCCCACTGTAGTGCAGACCCCAGAGTCTGCCTGATAGCAGGGGCACAGAGTTTCATAGGACTTTGCTATGTCGAAGGTGGAGTCCAGCAGAGACACATGCTGCACCAGCTACATGACCCCACCCCTGGGGTGGTGGCTCCGAATCACTTCTCCCTAAGCCAACCCTACTCACAGCCTCTGAGCAGTGAGCTGCCTTTGGGTCTTGGGACTGGGAGGTATAATTTCTAAATCCTGGTGTGTGGGGGGGAGGTGGGGTCCAGATATGCAGAAGAGTCTGCACATTGAGATAGATGCAGACCCCACCACAACTAGAGGGGAGGGAAGGAAACCCCCTGCTTCTAAAGTCACCATTGGCCTCATCAAGGCCTAAAACCACAATGGTTTGCAAGTGAAGACATCCAGCCTGGATTCCAGCTTTTGTTTTCTGGTCAGTTTCTATGTTCATGGCCCAGACTCTGCAATGTGGCTGAATGGTGTCAGCAGCCCTTGAGGTTTGTTTTGTTGTGTTTTTTTGTTTTGTTTTGTTTTTTGATTTTTTTTCCCAGAAGGCCTTTCCACTAGCTAAGGACTATGCTCCCAGGCTGTTACTCACCTTAGACTGTTTATCCATATTTCAATTCAATTTTTAAAGTCAAGAACGGCTGATGAATTTCAAAGAAAAGCTTTTTGCCATCTGTTGGCACAACCACACGTGTCCCTGGCTTAGTAAGCAGATAATTCGCTGAGTCCCATTGCCAGGTTTCCTGATGGCAAGTCACGCAGGCCCTAGTGCTGCGTTTTAAAACATTGCCATGTTAAACAGGCAGTGTTCAGTCAGGATGTTTGTGTCATAGATTTGCCCTTGGTTCACTGACATCTTTATCAGGGGGGAGTTTAGCACTGTGACCTCTGTGCAGGGCCACAGGTGTCCTCTACCTCCCACGCTCTGGAGCAGTTTGGCTGCTTGGGAATCAATGGAGTCCTCCAGCCCCGTGGGCAGCTGTCTGCCAGCATCAGTGGGTATCCCTGTGCCCTCCCTGCTCTCTGTGTCCTTGGGGGCACAGGGTTCCCCTCCCATGGCACCAAGCACCCAGCACGTTTGCTCCTGATGTGCTCAGTTCATCCTATTGCTCCCACTTCA